TGTTTTAGCCAGACCTTCAAGTACTATATTGAATAGATATGGACAGAGTGGACAGCCTTGTCTTCCTGATTTAAGTGGTATTGCTTTGAGTTTCTCTTCATTTAATTTGATGTTGGCTATAGGCTTGGTGTAAATTGCCTTTATTATGTTTAGGAATGTCCCTTGTATCCCTGATCTAAGACTTTTATCATGAAAGGATGTTGGAGTTTGTCAAACTTCTTCAGTATCTAATGAGATGATTGTGTGGTTTTTTTTTTCTTTCAATTTATTTATATGATGATGGATTACATTGCTGGGTTTTCAGATGTTGGACCATCCCTGCATCTCTGGCATGAAGCCTACTGGATCATGGTAGATGGTTATTTTGATATGTTCTCGAACCCGGTTTTCAAGTATTTTATTATTTTTGCATCTATATTTATAGGGGAAATTGGTCTGTAATTCTCTTTGTTGAATCATTATGTGGTTTTGGTATCAGAGTGACTGTGGCCTCATAACATGAATTTGGCAATGTTCCTTCTGTTCCTATTTTGTGGAATAATTTGAGGAGTATGACATTGGCTATTCTTTGAAAGTATGGTAGAATTCTGCACTAAAACCATCTGGCTTTTGGGGAGGGGGATTGGGAGACTTATAATGACTTTATATTCCTTAGAGATTATAGGAGTATTTAAATTATGTATCTGATCTTGATTATCAAGATTTTTGTTCAAGAGCTTCAAGAGCTTTCAGGTGTGCTGTTGCTAGCATGAGGTTGCTCCAATTTTCCAGGTAGGCAGTTCGTCTTAGCACCACTTTCATTGTGTCCCATGAGTTTGGGTATTCTATGCAATAAATTTCACTGAATTCTAAGTCTTTAATGTAGTGATATACTATTTATGATTTATTAAAGCTTGCCTGAGGATTCAGAAAGCAAAGCCAGCCACAAGCTATAGAAGCCAGGCACATACCTTTAATCCTATCAGTCAGAAGCTAGGAGGTGAGAGTACACACCTTCAGTCCTAGGACCCGGGATTAAGAGGTAGGTATATATATCCTGTGAGTCCAAGGCCACCCAGATCTACATACGAGTAAATAAATCTAAAAAAGAATTATAGCTTACACCTTTAATCCCAATGTTAGAGAAGTATATATGACAGAAGCAAGGTCTCAGACAGGCATTTTGTTTTCCAGCCACACCGAGAGCTTACAGTGTGAGGTTTGGTGAGAGCTTGTGGAGACAGGATCAGCCTATTCAGCCTGGGGTAGGGGTAAGAAGCTAGAGCCAGGCTGCTTTGCTTTTCTTACCTGCTGCTTGAAGTTTGAACCCCAATATCAGTCTCTGGGTCACTTAGTATTTGTGTTACACTTTATTTCTGGCTTGACCTAGTAGTCATTCATTAGAGTTCAGTTTCCATGAGTTTGTAGGCTTTCTATTGATTCTGTTGTTGAAATCCAGCTTGGATCCATGGTGGTCTGATAGGATGCAAGGGGCTATTTCAGTTTTCTTGTATGGGTTGAGACTTGCTTTGTGACCAATGTAGTCAGTTTTGGAGATAGTTCTGTGAGGTCTTGAGAAAAAGGTATATTCTTTTGTGTTTGGGTGAAATGTTCTGTAGATATCAGTTAGGTCCATCTCTTCTACTTGTGATGCTTGTATCTTGTAGTTCCTGTTCACGTACCCAGATTTGCGTTTCCAGAATTCTTTATTGGTTCTATTTCCATTTTCAGATATTGAACACTCTTGTTTCCTTCAACTGTTTTTCCTCTTTAAGAAATTTATTGGTTTCCTCAATTTTTTGTTTGTCTTTTCTTTGATTTCTTTAAGAGATTTACTCAGTTCTGTAAGGACCTATTTTCTTGTGCTTCAACTGTGTTGGACTATTCAGGGCTTGTTATGGTAGGATAGCTGGTCTCCGGTGGAGCCATATTGCTCTTGCTGTTGTGTTCTTACATTGGTGTCTAGGCATCTGGGTTGGTGGTGATTACAGGTCTCCATGACACTCCTGGTTTTGTTTTTGTTGTTTTGTTCCTTGGTTTCTGTTTCCCTTTTGGTCTTCTTGGCCAGTGTGGCCTGTAGTTGAGCAGGGATTTCCACTTGAGTTGGGAGCTAGTTGTGGCTGGTGTGGTCACTTGTTGAGCAGAGGGTCCCTGCCTGAGATGGGGGCAGGAGTTCTGGAAGCTGGTATTCCAGCAGGGACTGGGATATGGCATCAGAAGGGGAAAGGGATAGGGGTGTGTGCTAAAGGAACCAAGTGTGGGAGGTCCATGGGCAGTGGCCTTCCTGGTCTTCTGGCAGGCATGGCCTCTGGTTGGGCAGCCCACCTCCTTATTTGTTATATGCAGTGTTCTGCCTACATGCATACCTGTAGACCAGAAGAGAGCACCAGATCTCATTACAGATGGTTGTGAGCTGCCATTTGGTTGCTGGAATTATACTCAGGACCTTTGAAAAGACAGCCAGTGCTCTTAGCTGCTGAGTCATCTCTCCAGTCTTTTTTTTATTTTCATTTATGTGTGACTTCGTCTCATGTGTATTGATTACCCCATGTGTGCTGGTTCCTTCAGAGGCCAGAAGAGAGCATCAGATCCCCTGAAGTTAGTATTCCAGGTGATTGTGAAGGTCTGACATGAGTGTTGGAAACTGAACTCCTGTCCTCTGGAAGAACAGGAAGTGCTCTTAACCACTGAGTGTCTCTCCACCCTGTAGTGGCTTCTTGCTTTGCCAGTGACAAGATGCCACTATACCAGCCCTTCATTTCTTTGCATTTAAAATTTTATTTATTTATTGGTTTTTCAAGACAGGGTTTCTCTATGGCTTTGCAGGCTGTCCTGAAACTAGCTCTTGTAGACCAGGCTGGTCTTGAACTCATACAGATCTGCCTGCCTCTGCCTCCTGAGTGCTGGGATCAAAGGTATGTGCCAACACCACCCAGTTTACATTTAAAATTTTTTTTAAATATTTATGTGATGGATGTTTTGCCTGCATGCATGCCTGGTACCTGAGGGACCTGGAAGAGGGTATTCAATTCCCCTGAATTGGGGTTACAAGCAGTTGTGCTCTGCTAGGAGGGTGCTGGGAATGGAACCCTGGTCCGGTGGGAGTACAGTGAGTATTCTTAAGTCATACATCTCTAGCTCCCAAAGAAAAATTTAATATCTGCAGCAACTATAATAATGTGCCCTGGGTCATTCTAGATATTGGTATTTTGTGTTCTTTTTTGCTTCGTTTTAGATTTTTGTGTAGTTGGTCAAGGTTTCTTTGTGTAGCCAGGCTGACCTAGAACTCAGCTTGTCAAGTTCCCTTGTCCTTTTCCTTGGCCAGTTGGTTGGTGTTATTGGTAGTAGTATTCATCTTTCCACATACCAGCTTTGGTTCCATTGCATTCTCCATTGTTTGAGAATTATTGCTTTCTGCTCTTAACTTTTTGTTTCCATCCTTATGCTTGCATTGGGTTAATGCACTCAAGGTTTGGGTGGGAATAGGGGTAGGAATGACCAAAGGTCATGAACTGTAAACTTGTTTTCTGGTAAACATTTTAATGCACATCAGGATTGTATCTCATTCCTGCCATCCCAGTATTTGGAACCTGGGGTAGGAGGATTTTGAATTTGAGGTTAGCTGGGGCTAGATGATGAGACCCAATCTCAAAAAGTAAAGTGCAGATTAGTAATTAAATTTACTGTTTCTCAGATGTTTTAATGTCATTTTCGTTGCTGTTCAATTCCTTTGCAAGGGACTGTTTTAAGGCTCCACCCCAGGCCTTATGCATAAGAACCTCTACCTTTGTTCAGTTAGTTTTTGTCACAGTGGCAGATATTGAGAAGAGCGGCTCAAAAAAGGAGAGATTATTGTGGTCCATTGATCCCTTCTCTTTAAATCTAAAGTGATACTGAACAGTGGCATTGGAGCACATGGCAGGGGTTGCTCACCTCTGCTTACTTCCTGGCAACCAGGAAGACAGGAGGGGGCTGGAGACAAGGCTTACCGCCCTGGCAAGCTGCTTTCTCTAAACCACACCTGTTTTCTACCGATGGCACTGTGAGAGACCATTGTGGGTTAATCCATAGATGAAGGGGGCCCTCATGGTTCAGTCACTTGTCAGTGATTGAACCCAGCAGCTGGGGTTCACCATATAGCCAAACCTTAACAGCCACTACTGTGTAGTCCCCTGGCTGTCCTGCAACCCACTCTGTAGACCAGGCTGGCCTTGAACTCAGAAATCTGCCTGCCTCTGAGATTAAATACATACTCCATATCACCTGGATTTTTTTTTTTCTTTCTTTTTCTTCTAATTCCCATCTTTGCTGAAGTTTCCTTATTTGTTCATTCATGTTTGCCTTTTACATGTGAAAACAGTTGGCTTTAAATTCCTTACCTGACAGCCTCAGGAGTTGATGGTGGTGTTAAAAGACACCATTATGCAATAGAGCTTGAGTGGAGAGTTTGGGGTGGGGGGATGGGAAAGGAGAGACAGACTTGCCTCTGGGGACAGGAGCAGTGGGGTGGGGGAGTCGAGAGAGGGAAAGAGAAAGGCAGTTTATAAGGGAACATAAGGAATGTGTGTGCAGGTAGTGCTTAGTGGATTCAGCTGAGGGTGTATCTTGTCAGGACCCCAAGGGCAGGCCAGTACAGATGCCTGAATACTAACAGTTGGGGTTTCTGTTTTGTCTCTTGTCCTTTTTAGTCTGTCTCATTGTGTTTGGTTGAAAGTAGATATTGCGGGGCTGGAGAGATGGCTGAGATATTTAGAGCATTGACTGTTCTTTCAGAGGTCCTGAGTTCAAATCCCAGCAACCACATGGAGGCTAACAACTATCTATAATGAGATCTGGTGCTTTCTTCTGGCATGCAGGCATACATGCATACATAATAAAACTCTTAAAAACAAAAGTAGATATTTCCAGCATGCTTTTTCTGAAGAGGGGGTATTTTTCGGGGGTATGTAGGATCTCTAAACAGAACATTCTGGGTGCCAGGCCGGTCAGGTCCATAATAACAAGTTCCTTTCTTCTTCCAGTGCCTTTGTGTGTCTGTGCCTTCACCCCAACCACAGAAAATGACAGGGTCCCAGGTAAGTCACTTGGTTTTTTATTTTGTTTTTGTAGTGTTAGGAAGTATATAATGAGTTAGATTTGGGCCAGAAAGATGGCTCAGTGGTGAGAACCCGAATTTGTATCCTAGCAGGGTTTGCCCCACACACATCTCTAGCACTATGAGGGCAGAGAAAGGATTACTGGAGCTTTCTGAAAGCTGAGCTCCAAATTCAGTAAAACCACCTCATCCATTCTTGCCATTTTGGGGGCCCCTTCTGTTTTGAGGGGGTAGCAGAAAAGGTCTCATAGCAGAGGCAACCCTCAAACTCACTATGTATTTAGAGCAGTGGTTTCTCAATCTCCTAATTCTGTGACTTTTAACACAGTTCCCTCATGTTGTGATGACCTCAGCCATACAATTATTTTCATTGCTATTTCATAACTAACTTTGCTACTGTTATGAATTAGAATATAAAGACCTGTGTTTTCTAATGGTCTTAGGCAACCCCTGTGAAAGGGCTATTCCACCCCAAAGGGGTTATGACTCCCAGATTTAGATGATGACCCTGAGTTTCTGAACTGGGATGACATGCATGTCACACCATGCCCAGTTTCTTTGGTGCTAGGGATAGAACATTCTAGGCAAACATTGTATCTGCCAAGCTGCACCTCCAGTCCAGTATATTAGTTCTTGAAGGATAGCCTGGTTGCTTCCAAGGTGCAGGTTTTTGTGGGTGCATGACTAATTTTGTAAGAAACTGTTAAACTGTCTTCCAAGTGAAGTGTATATAGTCCCACCATCAATGAGTGAAAACATGCTTCACATCCTCACTAGCATTTGGCATGGCCAGTATTCTAGATTTGATTATTTTAATGAATTATGTAATAGTACCATGGTCAGTCTATATTTATTTTGGGTTATTTGAGACAAGGCTTCTCTGTGTACAGTCCTGGGTGTCCTGGAACTCAATTTGTTGATCAGAGTGGCTTTGAACTCACAGATCTGCCTGCCTCTGCCTCCTGGATGCTGGGATCAGAGGTGTGTCCCACCACTGCCCAGCCTATTCTTTACTTTTTATCAAGAGGTTTGTTTTCTTGAGTTTTAAACTGTCCTTGAACTTGAGGCAGACTCAACAGAAATCCTCCTGCCAAGAGCTTGGGACTAGAGGTGTGTTGCTCTCCTTAAGTAAGGGTACCACGCCTGGTGCTGCAGCTGCACTCAAAGTCACTTGAGTTTCCAGTAGTCAACTGTTGTTTTCCACAGTCCGTCTGTCTTCTGCACTGGCCAGATAAGAGTTGAAGGGAAGTGTGGGAACCACCACTCCTGCGTCTTTCTTAAGTCTTTGCGTGTGGCACTCATTTCCACAGTTCCTCCGGAGGTGCAAAACTCTGATTTGCCATATTCCTTGGCAATCTTACAGCTTCTGTTTAGCCTTTTCAACGGTAATAGCCCTCCCTCACTGTATTGATCGGGGAACCACTGTGAGAATTCTGCAAACTTCTAAGTATATCTATCCCAATTATACATTCTGGCTGGGACTGTGGAAAATAACCCTAGGATGAGTTCAGGGACCCAGTGAACCTGTGAGTTGGGCTTCACCCAAAGCTCCATTAATCACCTGGCCTCCATAAGTCCCTACTTTAACTGGAGGGCCACAATGTTTTTTGGGATCTCCCAGAATCATAGTTCAAAACCAGTATCCAACAGACCCCAGAAAGTCTGTTTCCTTTCTCCCCAGAGTAAAAGGCTATAGATCCCTATGAGACAGGACTAGAGAAAGACTAACAGTAAAACTCTTAGGGGAGACCCTTAGGGGAACCTGGCCATGCCTGGAAATTGATTAACACATTCCCTTTTACCATGATACAGTGTAGCCTTTCCTTCATTTGAAAATTTTTCTGCTCATACAGCTCAAAAAAATCAGTAGGCCTCTCTTTTATGCCTGGAAATACTGTGATTGATTAGCCAGTACCAAAGTTCATGCCACCATAAAAATCACTCTGCCTATGCTACCCATTACGATAACTACAATCACCTTGCCTTTGGCGACTGGATGCTGCTACTGGTCCCTGCTATTTGGGGGCCGATTAAACCCATTGCTTTTCGCTCATCCACCTGAGCAGCAGCACCCCCACCCTACAGTCTGGCACAAGGGAAAAGGGCAACAACAGAGCTCTTCAGATATGCTGATGCCCCTGCCACCATTTTGCATCTAATAGGATTGGTGTGGAGCATGTCTTTTGGGCCTTCCCATTGTGGAGGGTTAGGTTTTACATATTGTACCCACTATAGCATTGCAGTTTCCTGAACCCTAAAATCCTTTCATCAAGTTCAGGGATTTCAGGCATCTCCAACTCCTCCTGGAACTCACTCTGTAGATCAGGCTGGCCTTTAACTCAGAGACCCACCACCCGCCTCTGCCTCCCTAGAGCTGGAACTAAAGGCATGCACCACCACTGCCTCTCATGACACATATGTGTGTGTGTGTATGTGTGTGTGTTTTTTTTAACAACTCTTGAGTTTCCATATTAAACCTAGACTCTCTACTCAGAAGGCCCATATCAATAAACTCAGCCTGATCTAGTTTTATGTTCCTTCCACCATTACCCCACAGCCTTCAAATCCATTCCCAACATTCCCCAGACTTCTGCTGGAATGAAGCTCTTCAGCAGTATAGAGCACCTCCTTCTGGACTCCAATCTTGCCTCTAGGAGCCTGCTTACCTTTAGTCTGTTCATAGGTCTAGAGGGAACTATTGGTGGGTCCCGGTTGTCAATATTGTTTGGTTTAGCAAACAAAGAAGGATTAATTTCTTCAGTCAAAGGGGGGAAAGGCAGTATTTCAAGGGGTAGAGAGACCACTTCTAAGGTAAGAAATCCTTGAGAATCTGAGGGTTTGAAGTCCTCAGCATCAATAGGTTTCCCACACATCTCCGTCACAAGTTACAGGGTCCTGTTCTTTACCAGTTAGGGCCCTGACTTTAACTTCCAGCACGCTCCAAGGCTTGAATTTATGCTGTAATTCAGCCAACTTTATAATGAGCACCTTGGTTTGAATTTGTTGTTTGTTTTTCTCACAACTTGAGCTCTGTGGCTGCTGAAGAGAAGATCTTCCAGGGCACACATAGAAACATTCAGACTGAGCAGGGCGGTGGTGACACACACCTTTAATCCCAGAAGAGATAGGTGGATCTCTAAGTCCAAGACTAGAGCTAGTTCCAGGAAAAACCAAAAAGAAACTTTAAGACATCTGGAGCCAGTCAGTTTTACCACTGGGTTTAATTGTTGTCCTTCGCTGTATCCTGAGATGCTAGAAGCTGTTAATTTTGTCGTGGAGCTCATTCTTTTCTCTTGTCAGTTTATTTGGAGATGCTAAGAGGAACTGGTCAGCAACATTTTCCTTTTTCACAAATTGTCAAAGGTTTTATATGGAGTCACAGCTGTTGTCTCTCACAATTGGTGAATCAGAATAATCAAATGCATTTGTCTTGAAACTTGTTATGGTTACCAGGCTGGCCTCAAACCAAATCTGTCTGCCTCTACTTCCCAAACCCTGGGGTTCAAGGTATGTACCACTATACCTGTCTTCGTGGGTTAGAGCTGTGACAAAACGAACAAGTAGCACAGTTGGTGTCATGGTGAATGGCTTACAATGTGGCAAGAATAATTTTTCATGTATACTTTGTGCATCTTCCAAAGCTAATCACTTCAGAAAAATGTCATTTCAGGGATCGGTTTCATTTACTGATGTAACTGTGGACTTCACCCAGGAGGAGTGGGAGCAACTGGACCCCTCTCAGAGGATTCTATACATGGACGTAATGCTGGAGAACTACAGCAACTTACTCTCAGTGGGTAAGGACAGCCTAGGGAAGTGGCAGGAGTTACATAGTTAGAATGGTCAGTTCAGAATTCACAGGGGGAGCGATTTAAGACAGGCTCTCTCTTATGTGGCCTTGGCTGGTCTTGAGTTAGATCACCTGCCTCTAAACTGTTCCACTCCAGTGCTAGGCTAAAGGTATATGCTGTGAGATTTGTTATACAAGTCGGAGTTTCTCTGTTAACATCCCTGGCTGTCCCAGAACTCAATTTGTAGACCAGGGTAGTCTTGAACCCAGAGACCCACCTGTCTCTTTCTCCTGGATGCTGGAATTAAAGGTGTGTGCCAGTTAGACCTGCGTCTTCAGAGGCTTGCAGTCTGTCTCTGCAGGCCTCTTGAGACATGCTTACTGCTAAGTTATATTGTGAGGCTGGAGAGTTGACTGAGTGGTCAACAGTATATACTGTATGGACTTGCAGAGGGCTCTGTTTGCTTCACATTACCCATTTTGGGCAGCTCACAACCACCTGAAACGCTAGCTCCAAGGGATCTGAAGCTCTAGCTGTGATGACACCTGTACCTGTACACAGACTCACATACAGACATTTTTTTAAAAAGTCTTTTTGGACTGGTGAGATTGCTCAATGAGTAAAGGTGATGTTTCCAAGTTCCATGTTCTGAGTTTGATCCCTCTGGCCCATATTGGTGGAGGTAGTAAACCAGTCCAAGGTGGTTGTCTTCTGATCTCCACTCACACATGTTATGGTAATGCATGCTTGTGCACTCACACATACTACACAAAAATAAGTAAAAGGTATAAGTTGGGTATAGTGCTGCACATTTTTAATCCCAACACTGAGGAGGCAGAGGCATATAGATCTCTGTGAGTTCAAGGCCAGCCTGGTTTACATGTAGAGTTCCAGACTAGCTAGGGTTATGTAATGACATGATATCTTCAAAAAAGGGGTGATGTAGGCTGCAGAGATACCTCAGTGCTGGCTGAATGTTTTATTCCTAGCATTTACATGGAGGCTGGCTGCCTTCTGTAACTCATTTCAGAGGATCTGATGCTTTCTTCTGGCCTCTGTGTACACTGAAAATGTAACACCCATATACATACATCTTTTTAAAATTATTTTATGTGTGGGTGTTTTGCCTGCCAATACGTCTGTGTACCATGTGTGTGCCTGGTACCCTTAAGAGGCTAGAAGAGAACATTGAAATCATGTGTGTGCTGGGAATTGAACCCTGGTCCTCTGGAAGAACAGTCAATGCTGTTAACCTCCAAACCGTTCTCCAGTCCCATTAAAAAGATTTTAATGAGCTACTTTTAGGGTTGAGAGATTGTACAAGTGGATCCCCAGAGCCCATAGGAATGCTGGATGGTAACCTCCCTTAATTCTATTCTTGAAAGTATAGTAAGACTAACCGTATCTGGGTTTGAGATGTTTGATTACCATTTCTAACCTCAGTTCCAGGGAATCTGACAACTTCTTCCAGACTCTGTGGGTACTAAACATACACATGGTACACATCCATATGTACAAACAAGGTACCCACACATAATGGGGAAAAAAAAGTTAGGGGCCCATTGTTGTGACACATGCCTATAATATAAAGAAGATTGCTGCAAGTTTTAGGCCAGCCTGATGTACATGTGAAACCCAGTCTTTAAAAAGTGTGAAAAGTAGTATAAGTGAGCGCACTAGACCCATGCCAGTATATTACTGTCATCTAGAACTGAGTGTCAGTTACTAACCTCTGTTCTCCCCGAGTCTGTTCACTTAACATAACCAGGCTAATTGTTCATCGTCCTTGAGGGTACTATAAAATCTTCATCGATAAAGCCAGACAGTGGTTGTGAATGCCTTTAGTCCCAGCACTCAGGAGGCAGGTGGATCTGAGTTCAAGGCCAGCCTGGTCTAGAAGAGCTAGTTCCAGGATAGTCCGGGCTACACAGAGAAACCTTGTCTCAAAAAACAAAAAAATCTTCATCGCTGAATTACTGTCTTTCCCATGTCGTTTTATGCCCACCTTTACTTTTGTTTGTGATCACGGGAGAAAGAATGTTGTTGAGATAGACCCTTTCTGTATAGCCCATGCTAGCCTTAAACTCAGACTCGTCTGCTTAACTCACTTTTTGTAGACCAGACTGATCTAAAACTCTCTCATCCAAGTGCAGGTATCAAAGGAGGTGACATCACTTCCTGGCTTTTTCTACTCACATAAAGGTCATTTTCTCATCAGGAAATACCACCCCTCCAACATATATTTACTTCCCTCTCAAAGCTTATGAGATGAAAAAAGTTTGCATTGTGGTTTTTTTTTTTTTTTTTTTTTTAAATGCTGAAAGACTGGCTCTGAAACCAGAGTTAGCTCTACGATGGGTGCATGTGTGGTGTTAACGAAGAAGTCTTAAGTGCCTTTCACTGTGTTTTGTCCTAGAAGTGTGGAGGGCTGACGACCAGGTGGAGAAGGACCCCCGAGACCCAGATGAGCAGGCAAAGCCACTTATCACTTTCAAGAACCAACCACCAATTGAAGAAAGAGGCAGTCTTTTTGGAAAGACAGTAAATCTGAACACAGATTTTGTTTCCTTAACACAGGTTCCCTATAAATATGATTTATATGAAAAAACTTTGAAATGTAATTCCGACTTACTGAGTAGTAGAAGCTGTGTAAGAAGGAAGGGTGAGGAGTGCAATGGATTTGGGAAACCCCTTTTGTATCTGAAGCAAGAGAAGCCCCATGCTGGAGTAGAATACTCTGAATGTAATGGGAATGGAAAGGTTCTCAGCCATAAAGAAGTCATCTTTAAACACCAGAAAATTAAGAACTTGGTTCAGCCTTTTGTCTGTAATTACTGTGACAAGGCCTTCTCCTTCAAGTCGCTCCTCATTAGCCATAAGAGGATACACACAGGAGAAAAACCCTACGAATGTAATGTGTGTAAGAAAACCTTCTCCCATAAGGCAAACCTCATCAAACATCAGAGAATTCATACCGGAGAGAAGCCCTTTGAATGCCCTGAGTGTGGAAAAGCATTTACCCACCAGTCAAACCTTATTGTGCACCAGAGGGCACATATGGAGAAGAAGCCGTATGGATGCAATGAGTGTGGAAAGACATTTGCTCAGAAGTTTGAACTCACTACACACCAGAGAATTCACACAGGAGAGCGGCCTTATGAGTGTAACGAATGTGCAAAAACCTTCTTTAAGAAATCAAACCTCATTATACATCAGAAAATTCATACAGGGGAAAAACGCTATGAGTGCAGTGAATGCGGAAAGTCATTTATCCAGAACTCACAACTGATCATCCATATGAGAACTCATACTGGGGAAAAACCCTATGAATGTACTGAATGTGGGAAAACTTTCAGCCAGAGATCAACTCTTAGATTACATCTGAGAATCCACACAGGAGAAAAACCCTATGAGTGTGCTGAGTGTGGGAAAGCCTTCAGCAGGAAGTCTAGACTCAGTGTGCATCAGAGGGTTCACACAGGGTAGGCCCTTGGGCTACAGTCCGATTGTACCATGCAAAACACCAAACCAGAATTCTCCCAATGAGGGAGAAACCTTCATGAAGATATTGTGAAGGAATTTGGGAAATCACATTGATATGCAAGCTAACTCAAAAACTTAAAAAAGGATACCATAAGACTATTATACTGAAAGTTAGTATCCATATGGATGTATTTCAGTACATACATCTCCAGATCCAATTGTAAATAGACATACCCAGCTCTATTTCCATGAGCTTTTATGGCTTTTTGTGCTGCTGGGATTCAAACCTAGGGTGTTGCCTATGGTAGGCAAGTTTTTCTTTTACCACTAATCTACATTCCCCTGTCCACAGTGACTTTTGAAAAATCTTTAATCAACTGAATATTCTAGAAGGAGAAATAAAGTTTATATAAACATTTGTATTTAAGGATATGTATGCCACAAAACTAATTGTTTTAAATGGCTACTGGGAATTTGAAATTCTCATCTATGAAATTGCATCACAGCAAACAAGGTTTCCCATACTCAGCATCATGGATGTCTCAGTCCTTTTCCAACCCAGTGTTTATTTGTCCAAAGGAAAAGATGATGGACTTGAAAGGAGCATGTAGCCGCTTTCCCTCTGCAGCCCGATCATACAAATCGGTGTGATCAGTGTTAAGGAGCTGCCTGGTCACTAAAGAAAAAGCAGTAGTGTTAGAGTTTTAGCCTGCTTCTGGGCTTGAAGATTTTCTAGCACATTCTTTATATGAATATGCAGAGGTCTGAGGTAATTGAGATCTGGAGAGTAAAAGGCAGGTGTGAACTCTGACTTGGTGTCCATTACTGAAGAGTTGTGTGTGCAGGGAATGCCCTCATCTGTCATGCCCTCCTTTCTCCCCGAGGCATTTACATACAAGTGCATGTCCTTCAAAATACCGTGCACCCCAGAAAATTATTTTTGTATGTTTCTGTCTTCCTCTTAATGCTTTACGAGTTGTATTACCTCCCCCCCCCAAAAAAAAAGAAATGGGTAGGGTGCCTGTGTAACTCCTAAATGTTACATTTCAGAGACTTTGAAGAAAAAAGATCTGTCAAGAGCTGTGTTTCATTGCTTTTTATAGCTGTGTGTGCAATCTACTTAAGACATTTTTGCTGTGTCCTTTAAAGAAGTGTTTCTGCTTTCTCCCCTATAACACTGCCCTTTGGAAGCAGACTTAGCTTTATCTGGCACCTTGCCTTGTGTTCGCAAGCACTTTATAAGTATCATATTTACTTTTCTATTGCAGTGACTAAGCACCATGACCAAGTCAACTTATAAAAGGAAGCATTTCATTTGAGGCTCACAGTTCCATAGGATTAGAGTCCCATGACTGTCACGAGAGGAGGGAGTGTGCCATCAGGCAGCCATGATGGAGCAGTAGCTTAGAGTTCACATCTTGAGACAAGCACAGAAGAGCAAGCTAACTTGGAGTGCTGTGGGCTTTCCAAACCTCGAAGGCCCCTCCAGTCATACACTTCATCTTTACCAGATAGTTCCAACCGGAGACCATCATTCAAACCTGTGAACCTATAGGAGCCATTCTCATTCCAACCACAATAAGTTAGACTTCAGTGGTCTCCATATGTTGGTGACTAAGTATTCGAAGTTAGGATTTTTTGCCAGGTGTGGTGCTACATGCCTTTAATCCCAAAATTTGGGAGGCAGAGGCAGGTAGATCTGGTTTGGAGACTAGTCTGGTCTACGTGAGACCCTGTCTGAAAACAAACTTTTTATGTAAGTGAAAGATGATTATTTGAAACTTGATTCCAAATCACAAGCTCAGCTTTTTCATTATGCATTAGAATTATAAATGGAAACCACAACTGGGTTTTATTTTTAATATGTTATGTATATGGGTGTTATGTCTGTGTGTATTGACTATGTACCATGTGCGTGCAATTCCTGTGGAGGCCTGAAGGTGGTATTGGATCTGGAACTGGAGTTACAGATAGTTAGCCACCCTGTGGGTACTGGGAATTGAAACCTGGGTCCTCTGGAAGAGCAGCCAGTGCTCTTAACTACTGAGCCATCTCTCTAGCCCCTTGGATTTTTTATTTTTGAAGATAGTGATTCTGTCTTTTAACATTAAGAAATACACACTCTCAATCTCTTTCCATACCAGGAATTTAATTCCTGGCAATCTGAAGATTTAAAAAAAAAAAAAAAAAAAAAAAGTACCAGTACTTAAGATTTTGTTGACTAAGTTATATGTCAGTTTAGGTTTTAAAAAAATAATTTAGAAATGAGCAAATAAGCCAGGCATGGTGGGCACCGTTAGTCCCCACACTCAGGAGGCAGAGGCAGGTGGATCTCTGAGTTTGAGGCTAGCCTGGTCTACAAATTGAGTTTCAGGGCTGTTGCACAGAGAAACCCTGTCTCATGAGAAAAATTACAATAAAAATATGCTAGATTGAATTTACATTGCAAAGCATGGAGGAACAAACTTCCAAGTCAGATGTGACACTGAGAATATGCCAGTTTGTTTTTGCTTTTTTCAAATAAAGCTCTAGCTGCCTTACCTCCATGTTTGTCTGTATGTCTCCCTCCCCAGCACTGGGATTACAGAAAGGTGCCCAGCTTTTTATGTGGTTGGTGATCAAACTTGTCTTTATGCTTTCAAGGCTAGCAGCTCACTAAGCCATATCCCTAGTCCTAGCATATCTTTAAAAAAAAAAAAAAAAAAGATTTATCTATTATGTAGTGTTCTGTCTGCATGTTTGCCAGCATGCCAGAAGAGGGCATCAGATCTCATTACAAATGGTTGTGAGCCATCATATGGTTGCTGGGAATTGAACTCTGGACCTCTGGACGACCTGCTAGTGTTCTTAACCACTGAGCCAGCTCTCTAGCCCCTCATATTTTCTTTATAACATCTATTTTGATCGTTCAACCCTGTCCCTTTGAATGGTCAATCTGCACATTTTGGTGGACCAGACAGAATGCTCTCCTCGACTGCCTTGGCCTTCATTCTTGCTGTGGAGATCAGCTTAAAAGTCTTAATGGTGTGGATGTCCCATTAAGGTGGGGGCAGAGAAAAAACATCTAAGCCCTTCTTGGCATCAGGTAACCAAGAGCGAGCAAGTCCAGATATGCATTCTCTGTGTTACTGTGTCCTCCCTCCTCTCTGTGGTCTCAATCTGTGCCTGCCATGTGGCTGTCTTGTGAATCTGTCCCTGTAGCTGTGTCTGTGCACTTTTCTCTAACATCACAAAGCATCACATGGAGAATGAGGGATGCTTTACAGAAATTTCAACAGTTTCACAAAGGATTGAGTCACTCCAGCTAACCCAGACAACAGACAGCACTGTGTATAGAGCAATAGCTGAAAGTGTGTAGCGTGTATGGTGGGTGTCCATGTTATAGGATGGCGTTCAACTCTTGCACCTTTTGGCAAATGATTATCAGGACACACATTACTGTGGGTCAGAGGCGTGGAGTGCATAATTTAAGGTTGCCGCTGTGCATTAGCTTAGGTTGTAAAAGAATGTAAATGGAAAATCCAAAGCAAGTAAAACAACTGTTGTTACATTATCCTCTCAAAGGCACATTAAACCAATAGTGCACAATAAGTTAAAAGTCTTAATTCCTTTTGTTTGGTTGTATTTTGAGACAGGATTTCTCTGTGTAGTCCTGGCTATCTTGAAACTCACTCTGTAGACCAGGCTGGCTGCAAACTCAGAGATCCGCCTGCCTCTGGCTGCTCTACCATCACCTGGTTCAAGGTGCATTAGTAACTCAAGGCCCAGCAGAAGTTCTTGTCTCTTAAAGAGATACCTTTACCCTAACCCATTGCCACACAGCTGGAAGGCCTTTAAAGGCTGTGAGTCTAGATATTGTCCATCAGTGTACACATAAAGACAAGACAATGGCCTGAGGGATTCTGCATTTGTAGTAAGGATTCTCTTCCCTCCTCACTGCCTTTTCCCCATGCCAGCCTTTCCTCCTGTCCCTCAGAGAGAAGGTTGCAGGGCCAGTGTCCCTTTAGTGTCGGTGCACGCTCTTTACCCTCCTGGCCAGACTTCCTGGTCTAAGGGAGCTACAGGAAAAGGCTTGCAATGAGGTGATGGCTCACGCCTTTAATCCCAGCAGAGGCAGGTGGATCTCTGTGAGCTCGAGTGCCAGGACAGGCTCCATAGCTACAGAGAAACCCTGCCTCGAAAAACCAACACAGAAAAGGCCTTCACTTTTCCGTGATGCCCAGCCCCATCCTCCTCAGGCCAGATCAAGGCTTTTGTAAGTGGTTCCTTGAGTTTAAGCTGGCATGACTAAACTAGGTGAAGCTGTCTCCACAAGAGGGTGTGGCTTCCAGAACATGAGAGCATGCCTCAGCCAAGTTCGTGTTGTGAGACAACATGGAGGTTCACTGAGCTCCCGTGATGCCTTTAGGGTGAAGTTGCACTTGGGTAGGGCCCCCCTCTGTTTCAATCTGACTCATTCCTGGGATGTGTTATCCAGAACTGGCCTCAGCCTGACCTCCAGATCCTGAGCAGGTGGGGAGAAGGGATCTATTTTCCCTTATAACAAAGTTAGGTTCATCTCTACTCCCAGGTCAAGAAAGCTGGCCACCTTGTGGCACACCACTATATAACTGCATCCTATGATTAGAATCCTTTTGTCATAATTTAGGAAAGGACTCAGACCTCTGTTGATGGTCTTGTTGACAGGACCGTCAGCTGTGGGAAGGATGTCATGTGCCTGATTAGATTCTCACGTTAGCCCATCTCCCCTGAACTCGGCCCAGTGACATACTTGGTGACCCTTTGTGAATGTTCTAGCCCCTGTTAGATCTGGTCTCCCCGACACCAGCCTCCACCTCTAACAGTCCTGCTCCTGCTCCTTCCCCTTCCTTTGGGGACTGACCTTCCACCTGCAGAAGGAGCTGCTCCTCCTTACCCAGTATCACCCAACACAAACCTAGAGTCACCCAGGCAGTGGCCACCTCAGCTGAAGAACTGTCCAGGTCAGATTAGCCTGAGGCCATGTCTTAATTACTAACCCATGTAGGAGGCTCAGTCCACTGTGGGTGGTGCCATCCCTATGTAGGTGAGTGAACCATAGAAAGAGAAGGTAACAAGCCAGAGGGAGAACCGGTCACTAGGCTGTATTCCTCTAGTCTCTGCTTCTGTTCCTACCTCCAGGTCCCTTCCTGAGCTCCTATCTGACATTCCTCAATGGTGGGCTGTGAGTTGGCAATATAAGCCAAATAAGCCCTTTCTTCAAGTTGCTTTTGGTTGTGGTGTTTATTACAACAATAGAAAAAAATAACATCTTGATATGCATTCTCCTTCACACACTCCATCC